CCACTGGCTCGGGAAGATCCCCCAGAGAAGGAAATGGCAACCACTCTAGTATTCTTGCCTAGGAAATCCCATGTGACAGAGGAGCCTGGCGGGCTACAGTCCATGGGGTCACAAGAGTCGGACATGACTGAGCAACTAAACAACAGTAACCTCCTTAAATCATGCTACTATTACTGCTGCCAGAGGCCACTGCCCATGGTGCTGAGATTTTAAAGTATATCCTAAGGAAATCAAGCTCTGAAAGCATCGGTCGAATGAAAGGGGACCAAGACTTCTCCCCTGGAATCTCCAGACCCTAGTCCCTTTACTGTTAAGACTGACTGTCCTCAACCAGTCCTTCACGAACACCCTCACCCCTAATTCCGATGTTGTATCCACACCTGGATCAACGCTACAATGGCACCCCTATTTGTTCCTTAACAGACCTGCCTGGTGCTACAAGATAAATATCCAAGAAGGAGGAGCTCCGGCAATCCATCTCCGGCCAGACTGATCCTCTCCCTCAGATCCCACAGCCACTGCTCCGGGTCTGCCTCACTCTCCTTAAGCCCAAGCTCACCAAAAAGCCTTCAAATTCAATTTTTAGAAAAAGAAAGAGAGGGAGAGACAAATTATTAAGTGCAATCTTATCCTCCAATTTACCTAGCTTCTGACCCATTCTTCTCTCCCCTCCCTCTACCTGTCTTGAACTTGCTCATCTAGGACAAGCTCATCTCTCCTACAAAAAAAAAAATCTTCCTTCTACACCAAGCTACTCAAAGTGCCTCTCTGGGCTCCCTGGAACCCCACACCTGCCCCCCAAGTCTGTGAATTACCTGCGAACTAGGATCCTTACTTACCTTTGCACACTGCACAAACTGTTTATCTTACCTTCCCCACACCCTCTCTAGGAACTCCTATTGCCACCAACAGAAGGTTATGAATTTTGAATCCTTCTTTTAACATTAAAGGGAATAGCCATAACTACAAATCAGGCAGGAAAATGAACTAAAATTTGATGACTATAATCCCTTTCAAAATAATGCCAGGAACCATAACAAACCAACATCCAATACAATTTAAATATTGAACTGAGCAGTTAAACAATGCAAAGATACAATAGGAAAGAGCAAAACACACAAGCTTCTTCCAATGCACATTCATTGCAATGACTTCAAATGTTCCTGACACAAGTTATTATTACACTCACTCTTCATTACTCTCTTTAATGCACTCTTTCTCTTGTTGCTCTCCATCTACCTCAAGGGGGCAAATACAAGTTACTTTTCATTTGCTTGAATTTAGCTGTCTTGAGTGTGATTGGTTTTGTTTACCAGTACCAGTTCACAACATCTCTCATGTCTTTCTTTATGCTACAAAAGCACTGAAAATGTCAGCTCAGTTCTGGAGTTACTAAATGCCCCTACAGAAATTCCATAAAACAGTATGCCTTGTAGGTCCTACCAAAATGACAGATTTCTGGCTCCAAAACTTGTAAATAATGAGGGTGCTTTAAAAACTGCATGTTTACAAACCAGTGAATTTTGTTCATCGAATTTTAATAACTAAAGTTACTCAAATCTGAAGTCTAAAGTCAATGTTCCCTTGAAGCAATGCCATTGTGTAACTGGTTTTCAAACACAAGCAGTAAATTAATAAGCACTACAAAACCAAGCCCATCAGCCTCATCTGTGCTATCAACAATTATATTATTTTACTATCAAATATGAAAAGCTAGTTCAGGGCAGCTTTATGTCAACTGTTCTGAAAATCATACGCTGTTTCTACTCCTTGATTATATTTGCAAAAAAGGAACAAAGAGCTCAATGATCCTGAAGTGTGGTTAGAAAAAAATATTGACTAAGTTTTATTTTTGAGCCTTAAGACACGCAACCTCTCAGCCCAAAATCCAGATGATTCCTCAACTGTCTTCCTTTCAGAAACCTGAAAACTTGCCAGGACACCATAGGGCAGAAACCACAGAGAAGACACAAAATAAACCATGAGCTCAGGGGACATTCGTAGGTGACACAGACCTAGCTTTACACATTTCCACAACTGTGAGACTGACTCTACGTAATTACTTCCTTAAAACTGGTGTGGAGAATAAGAGCACCTGGCAGCTTACCAGCCTTGTAACTTTGAGAAAACATTTAACTTTTCTGGGCCTCAACTGAAAATACCAACAGTATTTGCCTGGCCTCACCCATTTCAAGATGCCATCTTCTGTGAGGAAGATTTAGTACTAGTGGCACCCATTTTCCTAAATGTAAGTAACCAAAACATGCAAACTTAAAAGAGATTTGTCATTACTAAAGAATAAATCAATAAGAATATACTTGGAGTACAAATGAATCATTTTGCTCTACTGCAGAATTTAACACAACATTGTAAATCAAATACACTTCAATTTTTTAAAAGGAGGGAAAAAGAATATACTCGGAATTGAAATACCAAAAAACACAGCAAAGACTTAATATAAGGTACAATCTGAAATCGCTGGAGCTAGAATACACTGAAATGATCCTCTGGAGAGCAATACTGAAAATGCTTCTAAAGCAAAGCCTTTGAGGCGGGGAAACACAAACACACACGCAAGTATATATATACACTAACATAAAAGGCCAAAAGGAAATCATAGAGGTTATGTTTGTTTGGTAAGCTTTTAAGTAACCTTTTCTTCATATTTTTCTCTATTTTTAAATTTTTCTATATAAGTATGTACTAACTTAACAATAAATTCTCAATATGGAGGTTACTTACACTGGTGAAAATCCCAAAGGGGGAAAGAAAAAGAATGTTTTCCCTTTTTTAACTTGTAAGAGTCCAAACATACATATTTTAAATATCATGTATCCATCATCTAGCTTCATTTACCAACATTTCGCCAATCTTCATTCAACTATATCCATTCCACTTTATTTCCTGAGATATTTTTTTAAAAAATTCCAGAATGCATGTTATTCACCTATATATTTTTCAGTGTATAGTCTCAATTTATAAGGAAAAATATATGTGTCTATGTGCGTGTGTATATATATCTATGTATATATATTAATGTAAGTGTTTGTGTGTATGTGTGTATTTGCAGAAACATGCAAACTTGCCAGGATACCACAGGGAAGAAACCACAGAGAAGACATAAAATAAAAACATATATAAAAACATATACAAAATAAAAAAACATATTCATAAATAAACATATACAAAAAAGTATATTCTCTTTCCCTCCTTGTAAAAAATTGAAGTATATTTGATTTACAATGTTGTGTTAAATTCCACTGTATAGCAAAGTAATTCATTTGTACTCCAAGTATATTCTTATTGATTTATTCTTTAGTAATGACAAAGTCACCATGCCATCATCACACTGAAGGACATCAGTAATTCCACAGTATCACCTAATACCCAGCCCATTTTCAAAAATAACAATGGTTCTTTCAGACTTCTCTGGTGGCACAGTGGACAGGAGTCTGCCTGCCAATGCAGGGAACATGAGTTCAATCCCTGGTCTGGAAAGATTCACCTGCCATGGAGCAACTAAGCCCATGCACCACAACTTCTAAGGCCACGCTCATAGAGACTGCGAGTCGCAACTACTGAAGCCTGCACGCTCTAGGGCCCACGAGCCACAACTACTGAGCCAGCGTGCTCCAACAACTGAAGCCTGTCTGTTTAGAGCCTATGCTCTGCAACAACAGAAGCCACCACAATGAGAAGCCCATGCACCACAACTAGAGAGCAGCCCCCACTCTGCAACTAGAGAAAGCCCTGCACAGCAATGAAGACCCGGCACAGCCAAAAATAAATTAATTTTTTAAAAAATAAAGGGAATGTAAAGTAATTAGCCTCCAACTAATAATAATAAATGGAAAATAAAATAAAATTCTGCTAAAAAAATAAATAAATAAAGGGAAATTCTTCACTGGATCCTTCATATGGGGGGGAAAAGCAATTTATAAAGAACATTACTGGGAAACTTAGGGATCTATGAAAATAGTCTCTATATTAGATACTATTATATAAATGTTGAAAGTCGCTCAGTCATATCTGACTCTTTTTGCAACCCCATGGACTCTATAGTCCCTGGAATTCTCCAGGCCAGAATACTGGAGTGAGTGTCCTTTCTCCAGGGGATCTTCCCATCCCAGGGATCGAACCCAGGTCTCCCGCAATGCAGGCAGATTCTTACCAGCTGAGCCACAAGGGAAGCCCAATATAAATCTTAAATTGCCTCATAACTGAAAGATTCATGCTGAAATAATTAAGGGTGAACTGTCATGTTTGTAACTCACTTTCAAATGTTACAGCAGAGGGACAAAGAGACAGAGACAAAGACAGAATGACAGAGAAACAAAAAGCAAATGCGGCAAAATTAACAACTCGTGAATCCACGTGAAGGCATCCAGTGTGCACTGCATTACTTCAACTTTTTGGTAGGCAAGAAATTTTTCAAACTAAAACAAGGGAAAATGTAAAACCGGTTTCAAAAGGAAAAAAATTTAATAGGATTTTAAGTATTGGGGGAGGCAAGAAGGATAATATTATATCAAGCAGATTACATTCTCATGAAAAATAACTGGAAAGACTGCAAGGTGTATTTAAAAAAAAAACTCCTCACAATTTGGGAGTGGTAAAAAAAAAGAGAATATAAGCATGTTACAGGAAGAATACATATTAATACTACTTTTTTCTTAAGGTGGTACTATTATAATATTTCCTGTTTTCCAAGTATTTTTATAATGTGCTTTTGCTTTTAAAAATTTTGAGTGTAATTTAAAGACTAGCCAGATAACTACATACTGTTGAACAGTCTCAGGTATTTGTACAATTAGCTGGTATCAATTTAAAAACCAGCAGCAGGAGCAATCATACTGATGTGTCTTTATTTCCCCTTGTCCTATGAGGAGTTATGGGTCACACAAAGCACAACAAATAACTGCTTCTCAACCACCTAAAATGGTAACGGAAACAGTAACATGAAATGATACCTTATAAAACCCACTATAATAGAAATATACCTCATCATATATGCTCCCATTAATGTCTGCACCATAAATAGGTGCCACGAAGGTTAAGTTCTTCCAGTACTTGCGCTCCAAATCTTCATAATCCAAGTATCTCGGGGTACAGTACCTGGAAAAGGGAGAGGAAACAAAGCCCAAACAGTAAAGGCAATTTTAAGATTTCCCCTAACCATCACTTTCTAAACAAAATTCTATCAAAATGAAAATACTGCATCCTCATGCTGTCAAACCTAACAAGTAAATACGTAAATGTATTTATCATAGTTCTCTCAAGACTCTCCTAAATAATATGAAAACTTCATTTCTTGACTAAGAAACATACTTCCATGAAAGTACCAACAACAGAAGCAAAAAATTAGTTAAAACTCATTATTTTATCTTTCAAAACATTTTCTAAACTCTTTAACCAATTATACTATACTTGAACAATTTAAAATGTATGAAGTAGAGATTCCACTAAAATTCAGTGTAAATGAAATAAGCTATTTAATACTTTAAGGATGACTCAGGAAAGAAAAATTAGGGGGAAAAAAAAAAAGAATGACTCTGGAAATGGGCACTAGAAGATGGAGAACAGAATACAATAAACAGTTTATAAGAAATTGGATAAAATTGCTTCTGCAATCTTGTTTTGGCATTGAACTTTTTATTAGAGTTTTTATAGAGTATGAAAGCAAACCAATCCAATCTATGATTAAAGTTTTACATTCTCAAATGAGATCTGAAACAATGGGGTTTTATCAATGCCTAACAAAAAAACAAAAAAAATACTCAAGAGAAACTTGAATTAACTATTAAATGTTTAATTCCTTTGGAATAGCAATTATGCTCCATAACAGGAACTTCATATAGAATAAAAGATTCTTCAACTACCATCGAGTGCTTACTATGTCAAATACAGTGGGTTTTTTTTTTTTAAGATCATTCAGAGGACTCAATCTCATGCATACCCATCCAGGGAATTTTAGACAATGATGTTTTTAGGTTGGATAGTTGATTGGTTTGGTGGGAAAGGGGTGTTTCTAGATTAATGTTTTGATCTAAGACTTTAATGACTATATAAAAAAAATTTTAAAGGTAGTTTAATAATAATAACTGTGACAGTTTCTAAATATATCCACAAATTCTTTGATACATCTCCCTTCAAAATATACAGCTTAATTATCCTCCCCTTAAGAATGGGCTGCACTTGGCATATAACAAATAGAACATGGCAGAAATGATAGTCAAGAAACAGGTAATGAAAAGACAGTTTGTTTTCCATCTTGGTAACTTCTGGATCACTTGCTTCTGAAGAAGCTAGATGCCACACAACACAAGGAATAGCTCTTGCAGCAAGAAACTCAGGACTCCAGCCAACAGCCACAGAAGGGGAGCAATCTTGGAAGAAAATCCTCTAGACACAATCAAGTCTTCAGGTGACAGCAGCTCCACCCAACTTGACTATAACCTCATGCAAGGTCCTGAGCCACAGCCACCCGGCTAAGCCAATCTTAGCCTCCTGACCTTTAGAAACTGAGATGTTAAATGTTTATTGATCTAAGATACTAAGGTTTGGGGTCATTCATTACAAAGTAACAGGTGACTAATGTGACAGGTGACAATAATGGTGGCCATTCAAGTCATTCAAGGATTTTCCTTTCTTTTCTTTTCTTTTTTTTTTACTATTTATTTATTTCATTTATTTATTTCGCTGTGCCCAGCCTTAGTTACAGCATGTAGGATCTATTTCCCTGACTTGGGATTGAACCCGGGCCACAGTCTTAGCCATTGGACCACTAGGAAAATCCCCAGGGATTTTCTTTTTAAAGTATTCTTCTAATATCTGTAACTTATCATTTAAGATTTAAACATTACCACACACAGAAGAAATTGCCTAACAAAGAGGAGTCAAGCATAGAAACAAAAATTCAAAGTAAAAGACAGGGACAAAAATCCACTTACAGATACTATGAATGAGATGATAAAATGAGGAACAATTTTTCTAGAAGGCAGACAACCACCTAAAAAGCAGAAACAGTTAAATGGGAAACGAAATAAACTCTGTAGAAGGCTCCTGCTCTTCACAAGCTTCCATCTCCTTGGTTTCTTACCATACTCACCTACATCTTCGAAAGAAATAAAAATAGCACACTGAATCTACTCACTTGCCACTGTTGGCCAGCTGCCTGAACTCCTTCACTGTCATGGCTTTTTTCTGGATGTTGTATTGAGTGAACAGTCCAGACTGCCCTGTGACCATCTGCTGAATCGGAGCTGGAATAAGCAAGTTGTCAATGTCATCATAGCACTGCCTTGGCTTCCACTCCTTAGGGGGAATCACCTAAAAGTAAAATAATAAAATATTATTTGGAAAACATTCCACATTGTTATTTAGCTCTCAAGTTCCAGCAGAATACAAGTAAAGAATTTCTCATCTTTTCTATGACAAATGTGTAAAAGAACTGTGGAGATTTACATTAAAGGAAATGATTTCATTCTCCCAAACATTTACCTCATGACATGACATTTTTAAACAAAATTTACTGAGTACTCACTATACCAAATACTGAACTTGCATTAATTAACTTATTATTACTTGATACAGTTAACCTCTCTATTTTCAAGGTAAAATGGAGAGATACACAGAAATAAAATAACTTGCCAAAGTTCAAATGCTGTCTATATTATCATGAGAAAAATAAGTACTGTGCTTAGTAGTTCAGCTGGTAAAGAATCCGCCTGCAATGCAGGAGACCCAGTTCGGTTCCTGGGTCAGGAAGATCCCCTGAAGAAGGGATAGGCCACCCACTCCAATATTCTTCGGCTTTCCTGGTGACTCCGCTGGTAAAGAATCCGCCTGCAGTGCAGGAGACCTGGGTTTGATCCCTGGGTTGGGAAGATCGCCTGGAGGAGGGCACAGAAACCCACTCCAGTATTCTTGTCTGGAGAATCCCCATGGACAGAGGAGCCTGGCAGGCTACAGTCCATGGAGTCGCAAAAAGTCACAATTGAGTTACTAAGCACAGCACAGTAGCAGTGTTTAGTCAATATCATTTTAAATACCTCTCATACAATATAGCAAATGAGAGTGGTGAGCTAGTAAATGTTTAACAACTAACTTTCTGGGGAGGTGGGGGAAACCCTGATTCGTAGCTTTGGCCTATTCTTTTAAAAATTTAATTGCAAAATACAGATAGCACACATGCAGAAAATGCACAATCACAAATATGTATCTCTGTGAGTTATTATAAAGCAAACACCAGAGTACCCACTGTTACATGTAAGAAATAGGATATTGCTTGTACCCAGAGGTCCTGGTACCTTTTTCTACACACATCCCCCTATTGCTCACAAAGTATTCACTATCATGGCACTTATGGCATTCATTTCCTTGCTGGGTTTTATAGTTTTATGTCTGTGTATCCAACCCTAACAACAGTTTTTTAAATGCACAGAAATGTAAGCATGCATATATAAATATATATGTGTGTGTGTGTGTATATACACACATACTCCTTATCTTTTCTATTTTACTCGATATTTTTGTGAGATTCAAACACAATGACCTAGGCTGCTGAAGTTTGTTCATTTTCATTCCTACTTAATATGCCTTTGTATGAATATTAACGTTAACAGATGACTATTTCGTGATCACTTTTTTCTAATTATCGGCAACTGTAAACAACACTGCTATTAATATAGATGTATGCATCTTCTGCAGCATGTGAGCACACAGTTCTCTAAATATACACCCATGCAGAGATCCTAACAGTGAAATTGCTATGACATAGGATACACACAGATCAAATTCAATCATTATTACCAAACTTTTGCCAAAGTGGTTGTACCATTTCATAGTCCCACCAGCAATGTGTGAAAGTCCCTATTGCTCCACATCTTCATCATCACTTTGTAGTGCTGATCTGGTAGATGTGTAATGGTACTCAAGCAGGTATTCTATTAGCATTTTCTGATAACTAAAGAAATCTCTTCATATATTCATTGACCCTATGGATATCCTTTCTCAAAAAGTATCTATTTAAGCCTCTTGCCAATTTTACTATTGCATTGTCAGCCTTTTTTTATTAATGTATAGAATTCTGCATAGAGTCTGGTTATTCTTGGGTGTGTACATTTGCAAGTATCTATCTATCTATCTATCTATATATATATATATATATATGTGTGTGTGTGTGTGTGTGTGTGTGTATAAACATCAAATATCTTTTCTTACCCTGAAACTTCCCCTTCACTCTCCTTAACTGTTCAGTTCAGTTTAGTCGCTCAGTTGTGTCCAACTCTGCGACTCCATGGATCATAGCACGCCAGGCCTCCCTCTCCATCACCAACTGCCGGAGTTTATTCAAACTCATGTCCATTGAATCGGTGATGCCATCCAGCCATCTCAAGCTCTGTCGTTCCCTTCTCCTCCTGCCTTCAATCTTTCCCAGCATCAGGGTCTTTTCCAGTGACTCAGTTCTTCTTATCAGGAGGCCAAAGTATTGGAGTTTCAGTTTCACCATCAGTCCTTCCAATGAATATTCAGGAATGATTTCCTTTAGGATGGACTGGTTGGATTTCCTTGCAGTCCAAGGGACTCTTAAGAGTTTTCTCCAACACCACAGTTCAAAAGCATCAATTCTTCGGTGCTCAGCTTTCTTTACAGTCCAACTCTCACATCCATACATGATTACTGGAAAAACCATAGCCTTGACTAGATGGACCTTTGTTGGTAAAGTAATGCCTCTGCTTTTTAATATGCTGTCTAGGTTGGTCATAACTTTTCTTCCCAGGAGCAAGTGTTTTTTAATTTCATGGCTGCAGTCACCATTTTCAGTGATTTTGGAGCCCAAGAAAATAAATTCTGTCACTGTTTCCACTGTTTACCCATCTATTTGCCAAGAAGAGATGGGACCAGATGCTATGATCTTAGTTTTCTGAATGTTGAGTTTTAAGCCAACTTTTTTACTCTTCTCTTTCACCTTCATCAAGAGGCTCTTTAGTTCTTTAGTTTAGTTCTCCTTAACTGTATCTTTTGATAAATATAAGTTCTTCATTTTAATATGGGCTTCCCTGATAGCTCAGTTGGTAAAGAATCTGCCTGCAATGCAGGAGATCCTGGTTCGATTTCTGGGTCGGGAAGATCCATTGGAGAAGTCAGGCTGCCCACACTAGTATTCTTGGGCTTCCCTTGTGGCTCAGCTGGTTAAGAATCCGCCTGCAATGCGGGAGACCTGGGTTCAATCCCTGGGTTGGGAAGATTCCCCTGGAGAAGGGAAAAGCTACCCACTCCAATATTCTGGCCTGAAGAATTCCATGGTCTGTATAGTCCATGGGATCACAAAGAGTCATACATTTTAATATAATCCAATTTCTTCATTTTTGCCTTGATCTTCTGTTTAAAAAAATATAATTCCCTACTTGAGAGAATACATACATTCTATTTTGTGTTCTAAGAGCTTTAAGATTTTGTCTTTCACATTGATATCTACACTGCATCTGTGACTGACTTTTGTGAAAGGTTCTGAGTTAGGCTTCATCAGATAAGAAAACCTGGAGTCAGGGAATGTGTGACTTGGCCAATGTTACACAATCAATAAATGGCTTGTTGTTGTTATTGTTCAGTCACTAAGTCAGGTCCGACTCTTTGCGATCCCATGAAGTGCAGCATGCTAGGTTTCTCTGTCCAACACTACCTCCCTGAGTTTGCTAAAACTCATATCCATTGAGTCAGTGATGCCATCCAACAATCTCAAGCTCTGTCGCCCTTCTCTTCTTGCCCTCAATTTTTCCCAGCATCAGGGTCTTTTCCAATGAGTCAGCTATTCACATCAGGTGGCCAAAGTACTGGAGTTTCAGTTTCACCATCAGTCCTTCCAATGAATATTCAGGACTGATCTCCTTTAGGATAGACTCGCTGGATTGCCTTGCAGTCCAAAGGACTCTCAGGAGTCTTCTATAGCACCACAGTTCGAAAGCATCAGTTCTTCATTGCTCAGCCTTCTTTGTGGTCCAACTCTCACATCCATACTTGACTACTGTAAAAACCACAGCTTTGACTATATGGACCTTTGTCTGTAAAGTGATGCCTCTGCTTTTTAATACACTGTCTAGGTTTGTCATAGCTCTTCATCCAAAAAGCAAGTGTCTTTTTAATTTCGTGGCTGCAGTCACCGTACACATTGATTTTGGAGCCCAAGAAAATGAAATCGGACACTGTTTCTACATTTTCCCCATCTATTTGCCATGAAGGGATAAGACTGTGTGCCATGACCTTAGTTTTCTGAATGCTGAGCTTTAAGCCAGCTTTTTCACTCTCCTCTTTCATCTTCATCAAGAGGCCCGTTAGCTCCTCTTCACTTTCTGCCAATAAATGAATATTAACTCAAAAAAGAGATGGGGCGATCTTTAAACTCTAAATTTAATTTTCATCAGCAATAAGGTAATATTACACACTTGATTTTTCTCTAAGATATGTTGGTTTAAAATGAACCCAGAGACAACCACACTTTACGCTACTGAGAACACATACTCAATATTTTAAGTGTGGACAACCATACCAAATGGATAAATATACTTACACTGTCTTGATCATATTCTGAAAGGGCAAAGGATAGTAACAAAGAATTTTATAAACACTTTTTCTTCATCAGAAATGAATGTGGTTATTCAAAAAAATAAAACACAGATTTATTCAGGCTCCTACTTAGAAATATATCTACAATCAAAATCAACATTATGTTTAGAGTTAAATATTTTCCAGAATTGTGAAAAACAGGCAGTTGTTCATCCCAAAAACATTTTGTAGCAAATTTTCTTCTCTAAAGTTAAATAACACAATACATTTACAAAAATCTAAATATTATCTTCATAATTATTCTGAGCTCGTATTCATTTACTCTGATTAAAGTTTAAAGTGTTCAGACAGAACTTTAAAAATCTGTAAGTTCAGGCTTATGACAAAAATTTTATTTTTCAACTATAATTTTAAATCTTAACACACTGTATTTTCTCACATAGGAAATGGAAGCACAATATATAATATTTAGGGCTTTAAAATACTCAAAAGTTAAACTTTTACTTGTAAGGACTCTAAAGGAAGGAAACCCATTTCTCCTGAAGTTTACCTTCCTGATTATATCAAAATAGAAATATATGTTTTACATTAATATTTCCCCAACCCCAGCTTGGGCCCTATACAAGTAAAAATTACCTAACTGAAATCTGTATTTGCATTACTGATCTTGAACTATGTTGCCATTACTACCACCGACCAACTGGGAAAGGAGTGTGAGGAGGAAGGGCAGGGCTGCTCCCATCTTTCCTCACCTCTGGACACAGACAGCTACCTCCCACCTCTATGCTACTCTGGAAGCCTGCTCTGTACTCTAGAGGATAACCTCAGGCCCAGGACAGAGTATGTCCGTACTACTGCTCTGGAAGCATTGGTCATTCCTCATGTAATAATGTTTCACTATAACCTTTCTCCACAAAAAAAGTACAAGTTTTACATGTAAGGACACTGTCACTTTTTCACTTTCCAAATTAGACCAACAAATCTAGGTAGAAAGTCAGGGTGTCAAACCTCTCACTCTTGGTGGGGAAAAAAACATTAAATCTAAAGTATAAATCTAAAAACTGTTACCAACCAAGGCAGACTGTAATCTGAGGTCAAAGTCACTACTCAACCACTTTCTTCAAACCAATCAAATTGATCTTAATCAAAAATTAAGACCAATTCATTAAATGATGCATTAACAAAGAATTTCACAGATGGCTCTGTTCCCCAGGGCTAGCCCTCAAACCAAATAGCAACATTGCAGTTTTAATGTATACAATTTTATTTTATTTGGTGCAGTTTTATACATCTGCTACTGCTGCAACTTCCAGAAAAAGAAGGATGAAACTGAAGTGAAAAAAGTAGATGAAACTGAGTCTTTGTAATCTGATGTAAAAGATGGCAAAAGTGACTAAAAAAATAGTTCATTGTATTCCTAGTAAAAGTAAAGGGAAATTACTGAATATCAAATCACTATCTCCATCTCTGTCAATGAATCTCACTTGATAAAAAGAGAATCTGGACTCAGGTTGGTGTCTGGTTCAACACTCAGAAAATTAACTGTAGTTCTCATTAACTCCACTCTGTCAGAGAATGTCCACAGGGGCACAGGCGTTCTCTCTGTACTCCAGCTCCCTCGTGGGGGTAGCTGCCAATTTCTCTTCTAAGGTTACTAAACGTGCCCCTGGCCATGGAATGGTCACTAATCCGAGGGAACACAGTAAGGTACACATTTTCAGGGAACAAAGAGGGAGAGCTACAGGACAAAGGGCTGGATTCAGAGCCCCGAGAAGAGGAGAGCCACCCCAACTCCCCACTGCCCAAATAAAGCCCAAGCTGGTTCATTTTATGTTTATGATCAAAATTTTGTGTGTCAAATGATTCTGAAATACCATTCTCTTCTCTTCAACTTAAACATGCTTTTTTCCTCCTCAAATAGAACCTGAAGTGCTAAGGTTCCAAAAATGGGATCTTTGAGAGCTAACCTAATGAAAAGATTAAACTAAGGATAGCATATCTGAGAAATTCACTATAAACTTTTATCTTCTTTTTGTCTCTCTCACCCACCCCTAATCCACTCAGCTTAATATCCAGGAATTTTAAACTTTATCCAGCAGTGACTTGAACTACACAGAAAAAAATAACAGACTGCAAGGCACAGATGCCAGCACAGTCCAACATTACAAACAGCTGCATCCAGATACAGGAGGAAGACTTGAACACCGAGCCCTGCAAGCCTGGAAGTTCGTTCTGCAGCTCCTCTCAGTGCTCCTGGACCACCATGGAGATGGGGCTTCAGGAGAACCCGTGATGAGCCACAGCAGGGAAGGCTCTGCTGGAGCTCAGGAATTTATGTGGTGATGTCCACAAGTCCACAGAAATCTGTATTATAAACTTAACGTTTAGAACAATAATAAAATTAAGCAAGTGCCAAAAAAATCTATTCTTCCAAAGACGATTTTAAATTGAAACAGATTTCCATCACAGAAAGATACACTAATCTCACGTTAAGGTCAAACCTAAACAGCCTCTTTCAAAGCTCTAACTCTGCGGCTACAGGGCAGCCCTGCAATGCAATCCTCAGCACTTTAGCCCTCATTGCCTATGATCCTGAGTACCCCTGACAGCACTCCTTGCTTCTGCTCTCCTCCCCCTCAAATTCATTCTTCATATAGAAGCCACTGTGATCTCATCAAAATAATATCACAAAACAAAACAAATAAACAGGGAATTCCTTGGCAGCCCAATGGTTAGGACTCAGAGCTTTAACTGCTAGGATCCTGGGTTCCATCCTTGGTCAGGGAGTTAAGATCCCGTAAGCCACACAGAGCAGCCGACAAATAAGCAACCAAGCAGCCACCAGGTCCTCCTGCCCTCTGCTTTAAGCCTATTAACTCTTCCCACTGCACTTAGAATAAAATGCCCCGTGCCTCATTATGACTGGACAAGCCGTAATGAAGCTCAGGTCAGCTTCCAGGACTCTGGACTTAATATTCTTTCTATCTCCACATCTTGAAAAGACGTTCATTTATATCCTTTAGATCTCTCCTTAGATGTCCCCCATCTCACCCCTAAAATGCTATCACCAGTACATTAGCTTCCAGAGGGCAGGGATTCTGTTCTGTACCCTCACCTCCCCCCACCACACAAACACACACCCAGCATCTGACATAGGGCCTAGCACAGAGTATGCATTCTCCACATGTGATGAACAAATAACTAAAAAGAAAACAGAATAGGCAAATCCATAGAGAAAGGAAGCAGATTAGTGGTTGCCAAGAGGCAGGGGGTAGGGGATAGCAGGGAATAGAGAATGGCTGCTGAAGGGTACAGTTTATTTGGGGGGGAGGGGATGAAAATGTTCTGGAATTAGGTAGTGATGATGGTTGCACAACTCTGTGAATATACCCCCCCAAAAAAACACCAACACTGAATTGCACACTTTAAATGGATGAAATGTATGGTACATGAATTGTATGGTATGTGAATTATGTCTAATAAATCTGTTACATTTTAAAACAGAAAGAACAAAGAAGGGAGGGAGGGAGAGAAAGCAGGCAGCAGTAGGGACAAAGAGGAAGAGATGGGCAGAGAGGGAAGAGAGAGCGGAGCAGTACTCAGGCTTCAGGTTAATACCTGCACTCTGTGAGCAACTAATGAAATCTATGAATATGCTCACATTTCTGAAACCTTTACATGAGTCTCTCTGGTTCCTGGGAATCACTCTTGGTTCAGTATGATTGTTTTCTTAAAACCCTAGAATGTAACCTAGTATAAATAGTTAAAAGAAAAATAAAATAATTATTTTTTGAAGAAATCAAATGCTCCACATGGATTAACAAGAACAAAGATTTTGCAAATGTCTTCCTTTGGAAAAAACAAGTTCCCACATCAAGAAGACTAAGAGTATAACTAAAGGCCAAGTGATCATTTTCTGGCTTAAAAACATCTGAAGATAATCACCTTTGCAAGACCCGCTCGATGGGCTCCTTTAGATTCCATGTATGCGAGGTATCTGTTGAACTCCCGGAATTCCTCCATGGTGGGTCTGAAGGTCATGATCTTACAGCTGGGGTTGAGTGGACTCTCCACCTCGGCCACCTCCATGATGGCTGGAGCAGTCTCTACAGAGAAGATGATGAGGGCATCAGTGCTGAGTTTCTGTGTGGTAAGGTCGGTAAATAGTGGGTATGCTTCCCTAGCAAAAACTCTTTTAGTTACTTACCATTCCCTTCTACCACCCTGTTAGTGAGACTCCCTCATCTCTCCCTGGACTCCTGAAAAGAAAAACTGTCTCTAGTTAATCCTCCTCCCAAGCTCCTACTGCTGGCATGAAATCGCTGACCTGATTACATTGGTCTCCTCCTCAGAGTCCTTCCTAGAAAGAATGAACTTTCTAACTTTGCAAGTTTCCGGAACCAGCTCTGAAACAGACGCTCACCTATGTATCTATGGAAAGGCCTGGTGCAGGCTGAGCAGTAAATGGATAATATTCCACATGCCCAGCACAGAGCCTACTCAGGCGTGCTTCAAGTCACCATGATATGCTTTCCTGTAATAACTTACAGACCAGCCCCCATCTGCAAAACCACCAGACACCAGGCTAAAGTGCTGGAGGCACAGTATAGGAGGTTGTACAGTACAAGAGTAAAGAAAGGTTGTCTTCCAAGCTGACTATCTGGAGGCCAAACAAACTTCAATACAAAACTATACACAGGAAGAGGTAACTGACTCCATCTGAGTTACTCAGCAATGATTTCCCTGGAAAGAGGCAGAACTGGGCCTTATGAGAAGGTGCAAAGAAGTCTGTCAGATGAGAGAAAGAGCATCTAAGGTGGTGGAAATATCTGAAGTCTGCAGAGATGGAGAGGGGAGGTTAGCTAGTCTGGAGCTCAAGAAGAAAAGATTCAGGAGATCACAGTAGAAAAGTAGGTAGTAGTAGCACTGTGAAAATGCAGACTTAATCCTGCTGTCAAAGAACAGGGTGATTCTTCCACAAACACCTACTGAACACCTACTATGTGCCGGGCAAGGGAACTCCATGTGCCCACCATGTGCCGTGATGAGGAGCATGGGCACGCATGCCTCAGGAAGGAGTCCTGAACATCCCACCTATACATACAGTGACAGCGCCTGGCATCTGACAGCTCAAACACCTAATCCTCTCAGAACAAAACTTTCCTTTTCTCATTTTTTTATAATAAATTCAATTTGCCTGACAAAAAGAGGAAGTGGGAAATGAGGGATGCAGTAAATAAAGGGGAAGCATGCAAGGGGATAGGAGGTTGTAACAGTTCAGGGCTACATTATCATCATGCACTGAAGGTTTAAATCAGCCTCTATCTCACAAAGTGTATGTGAGGGAAATGAGCTACTCCAGAATTAAACCCTGTCACCCTTCAGGAATTTATATTCTAAACTAGAAGATAATCTGCATGGAGATATATTAATACCTAACAAAATATTCTGTATTCCCCCTGCCCCAGGAAGGAGGCATGCAATTTAAAAGCCTTCCAGGCCACCTCACCTGGAGATGAAAATGGCAACCCACTCCAGTATTCTTGCCTGGAGAATCCCATGGACAGAGGAACGTGGCAAGCTAAAGTCCATGGGGTCACAAAGAGCTGGACACGACTGAGCAACTTCACTTTCAGGCCACCTCCCCTGGAGAAGGAAATGGCAACCCACTCCAGTATTCTTGCCTAGAGAATCCCATGGACAGAGGAACGTGGCAAGCTAATGTCCGTGGGGTCACAAAGAGCTGGACACAACTGAGCGACTTCACTTCACTTTCAGGCCACCTCCCCAGCCCTGTCCCTTCAGGTGCACAGGCCCAAATCCCTGGGCTGCAGGATCGAAGTCCCACCTCTACATAGGATACATAGAACCCTTTAGAAGCATCCAGATCAGGCCCCTTGCAAGAACTATCATGGCCGTGTCCATCGTCACAGCCTGCATTATACAGTGCGTGCGTGCTAAGTCACTTCAGTCACATCTGACTCTTTGCAGCCTACATGGGCTACATGCAGTCCCCTGTAGCCTGCCAGGCTCCTCTGCTCATGGGATTTTCCAGAAACAGATAATGGAGTGGGTTGCCATGCCCTCCTCCAGGGAATCTTCTCGACCCAGGGATCAAACCTGCCATCTCCTACATAAGCAGGCAGGTTCTTTACCTGCTCAGTAGCCACTTGGGAAGACTCACATTTTACTTTATGCTTCAATAAGACTCAGTGATTTGTGCTTCTCTAAACAAGTACAGCTCTCTACGCCCTTGCCCAAATTATTCCCTCCTATTGGAGCAGTGTTTACTGGTTTCCTCACCTGGCAAACTCCTGTCCACTGCTGAGATTCCCAAACATCTGGGGCAGGCCTAGGTGAGCCACCCTGTGTGTCTGGGCCTCCCTCTCTGCATCCCTCTTACATCAGCTGCCTGTCCCAGTGGCACCTGCAACCACTCACTGAACTCCAAGCTCCTCAAGGGGAAGGCAGGTTATCCACCTCTTTAAGCCCAGGTGTTTAGTCTGGTACCTGGCCTGGCTCGTAATATCTGCTGCAATAACTATTTGCTAACTGAATGACAGAATAAATGTCAACATGTTACTAAAGGATTTACACTAAATGATACCAAATGTGGGAAAACGGAAAGCATTGGTACCTAATGTGGAAAAGTTACTTAGAAAATAGAAATCATTTAACTGGTAAAGAGTAATAGAATATTAAAATCTGAGCAGTGAGAAAGGAGAAGCCCCTAGAGCACCTCTGTAGAAACATCTGGCACTTGAAAGGCAGCCTTACTTTGCCACAGATGAAGAACAAGGGTGGCCCTGCCCCTTTCTCTAGGCAAAGGGCTTGAGAAACTGCTAAAGGAGAAACTGGAAATTCAACTGATCATTCAACTGGGTCCTAAGTGCCTGACTGGTAGGCAGACATTCAAGATGGAATGAAACAAAACACTAACCGTAGCAGGGGGAGAAACAGATGATAAATAAGTAACAGTGCTATGAAGAAGTAAACCGGGGCAGGGCACAGGGTGCAAAGAGGAGAGGCAGCTGCTTCCACGGGGTGGGCGAGGGAAGCCTTTCAGAGGTCTGAAGGAGGCAACAAACCATGAGATATCTGGAAGAAGAGCATTTAAGGCTGAAGCAAGTGTAAGAAGCCTCTTGGGCTCTTCAAAGAACAGCAAGAAATAGTGTGGTGAGACTCCCCTGGTGGTCCAATGGCTAAGACTCCACACTCCCAGTGGAGGGGGGCCAGGGTTCAATCTCTGGTTAGGAAACTACATGCTGCAACTAAAGATCATGCATGCCACAATTAAGACTCCTATGCAGCCAAATAAATAAATATCTTTATTTTTTTATTTTTACTTTTTCTTAATAAATATTTTTTTAAAAAAGAAGAAGTGAATGTGGTAAGCAAGGAAGAAGAATGTAAGAGAGGCGGTGGGGGCAAGCGTGAGAGGGGAGAAAAGGAGTTTGGTGTTTACTATGAGTGAGATGAGAAGTAACCTTGAGCTTCTTCCCCTTCTTGTACCTCATGTTCTGGATACTCTAACATGCACTTCCCACCAAGGAGACAACACTTTTTTCTAAGATAACTGCTCTGGAGGATGTTAAGCAGAGAGGTGAGTCTGGCTGTTGTATCAAAAAAGGACAAGGTTGGAAGCATGGAGGCAATTTACATGAACCCAGGCAAACTAAAACGGTGACTTGGACCAGGGGTGGGCAGTGAGGAGTGGTCAGATTGCAGATCTATTCTGAACAAAATTTGTGACATAAGAAACAGAGGAGTCAAGATTTTTGACAGAAGGACTCTGACAAGAAACTGAAGTGATGAGACTGTTAAGATGCGCAAGTTTGTAACAATCAGAATTAAACCTCCGCCTTCACCTAGTTTGCTAACTGGTCTGTGAAATAAACTTTGCTTCCTTCTAATGTCACTACTCCTGACTACACAAAACTAGTTCTACCTCTAAATCAGGAACACATACAAAAGACCTAATCAGTTTACATTTAGACCTTTTCAATCTACAGAGTTAATGTACAATGTGACAAACTTTAAAACATTAAAGTATTTTAAGATTTAATGTTAATCCCACCACCCAAATTTTTACTAATATGAGTTTAAAAAGTCTGGTGCTAAGTTTCATTTCTTTGATTACTAGTGATATTGATCATTTTTGGACATGTATAACCATTTTCATTTGATTTTGGGATTGCCTACATACATTCATTACCCTTAAAAGTTAGTTTATAAATATTCTGTTCCTTGAGTTTTTTCTAATCCATTTTTATCATTATTAAACTTATTAATGTTGCTAGAACCAAATCATGTTATTATTAATCAATGCTATTAATCAAATCATGAACGATATTATTGATCAATCAAATAATGTTGCCAGCCCCTCTTCTCCTTTACCTTTATTTCTCTGAGCCAAGCAGAAAAGGTTTAAAATGTTCTTGCAATAATGCTTTATAGTTGGAGAATGACTTATATTTTACAAAAACATCTCTATGATTTTCTGCTGAGGGTGACGCAATAGTCATTTTTTAATGCTACATCTCTATAGAGACTGAGTCCCCCAAGTGAGTGACTACAGTATCTGTGATGATAACTTTGTTATTTTGCTTCTACAAAGCTGGCCTTCAATGTTTTTAATACCAATCAAACCAAATAATCATATTTATAGTAAGTACCCTAAGAACTTTTTTAAAGAAATAAAGATCTTTCTCATCAAGTAAAAAACAACTCTAACACTAATTCATAATTATATAATTGGCCCAAGCCTCTTTCCTGAAAAATTTTACCTTAACATCTACTCTCCTTATTCTCATAATATATCTCTATTTGGTAATAAAAAAAGAAACTAAGGCTGATGTTTTCCTGCTAAATGTCAATCTGTAGCCCATACTGCTTTTGATATATACACCTGTATTTTTGACCTGTGTCCTGTTGTTGAAACAATTACTAGGAAAAGAGTAAAAACCGATGGCTCTCACCACGGGAGTACTAGTTTCTTAGACAACACCTGCCACAGAACCGGTTTACAGTGACGAGAACACCTGAGGATCTACTATATATAAAGCACCACCCCCCGGGAGGCAGAGCAC